CAATGTCACGATAGACAAAAAACAACAAAAAAGTGAAGGAATGCTTCTATTTTAATGAAAATGTAACAGAAGGCAACATATAGGCCTTGTTTTATTCTTAGATCCTAAAGAAGTTACAAAGGTGGTTTTAGAAAAATTGGATAAATTTGTGGAATATATATGTCAAATACCATTGTGGTAATGTGACATCTCTTGGGTGTGGTAATGGTACTGTGGTTTTTGTGGAGACTATGCTGTTCATACAAGAAATATGTCTAAATATAAAGAAGTAAAGTATCATGATATTTGCCATTTACTTTCAAATTGCTTAGGAAAAAAATTGTTTTTGAAAGCTAAAGCAAATGTTTTAAAATGTGAACAATGGGTGAATCTAGATGAATGGTATATAGAGGTTCTTTATTCCATTTTACAACTTTTCCATAGTTTTGAAATTTTATAAACAGTTGGGAAAACAAAACCATTCATTAAATTCTTTATTTCATATCACTATTTCCACAGTATTGAAATACAGACCTCGAACACATACAATCAATTTTTTATAGATTCATAATATGAGATGTTGATGAATGTTGAAAATTATAACAATCAGAACTTAAAAGAATCACACAAAAGACTTAAGAATGATTGTTGAATGTCTGCAGCAAATATGAAGCAAGAATAAAAGGATATTAGCAGTGCTAATCTTTAAAATGGGTTTTTCCCCATTCCTACTTTCTCTGCTCCCTTCCCACTTACAGCCTCAGAAAATATTCATTATATACTGGAAGTATAGAATTCTTAAAAACCAATTGCATGGGAAATACTCGATTTTCTTTACAGGTAAAATCCAGTCTTCAGCAACCTGTAGGCCATTGAAAGAGTAACTCCATATCCAACAAAAAAAGCCAAAGCTCTATTTGGTTGGGGAAGGGGTGTCAAATACGCAATTGTGTGGTAGATCCGTGCTCCAACAAAGAGCCTGAAGTGCAGGAGAGCAGTAGAAAGGTCTGGACCACTCAAGGAATATAGCAGCCCGATTCCAACAAATGGAACAATATTTTCAAGGTCATTCAGGTGGGCTCTGTGGGGAAAAAAAATGACTCTTAAAATTTATTTAAACATATTCATTCTTCCCGCCCTCCAAAGATTAAATGTAGATGTTAATGGATCTTTAAACTGCAAAGTAAAAGCCTTTCTCTCAAACTGCTTTGTTTCCTCACTCACTGGACTTTCACTGTTATATCATCTCATTAATTTTTTTTAAATTTTAGTGTATCTCTTTTTTATTGGTTGCTCAAAACATTACAATGATCTTGACATATCATATCTCATACATTTGATTCAAGTGGGGTACGAATTCTTATTTTTACCAAGTGTACAGATTGCAGGATCACATTGGTTATACATCCACGTTTATACATACTGCCATACTAGTGTCTGTTGAAGTCATTTTATAGTTTTGGGAATATAAAAATTGCATCTAGGAAAATTCACTTCATTTTTATAAATATGAAATATATATATTTGCAATTCAAGATTCCTCCTACTAAAAACTCTTCTTCACAAAGGAAAAAAAAAATCTTTTGGGGTACAATCTTTCCTAAGAGACTTCCTTTAATTTTTCTAGTCTTTAAAATGGTGAATGAGAAAATGCTTGCCCATTTACCCAAACCACTAGATTACAAACTTAATAGCAATAGCAACTGAATAGCAAAGACTCATCTCTTCAAATACAAACAGCACAACACATAAATAGCCTCTTGAAGATGGCCAAAACTTTAGCTACTCATATCTTTAAACCACAAAAGGAATAAGTTAATAAGCTTGCAGTATAAGACAGAATATACACAAAAGATGATAAGAAGTCAGGTGTGGTGGTGCACCCCTGTGATCCCAGAAACTTGGGAAGCTGAAGCAGGAAGATCTCAAGTTCAAGGCCAGCCTCAGCAACTTAGCAAGACCCTGTCTAAAACCTAAAAATATAGAAGGGGCTAGGAACATAAATCAGTGATAGAGCACAACCTGCAGTCCTAAAACTTTAAAATATTTTAAAAAGATAAAACAGACTTCCTAAATTTTATCTTTATATCACCACTAAAAGAAAACAAAAAGAGTAGTTTAGCCATAAGGCACCATGGGCTTTCCTGGCTAGAATTTTTAATAAAAGGCACATCTATTACTGACTTGACATTCTTTTTTTTTTGACTTGACATTCTTAAAAGTTCATAATCTTAAAATCTGATGCCCCCTCTTAAGCCTACAGAATGACAAACTGCTTTAGTTCCTTTTTTAAGATATTTATTTTTTAGTTGTAGTTGGACACAATACCTTTATTTTACTTAATTATTTGTATATGGTGCTGAGGATCAAACCCAGGGCCTTGCCTGTGCTAGGGGAGTGCTCTACCGCTGAGTCACAGCCCCAGCCCCCAAAACTGCTTTAGTTTCTAAACTAGGACTAGAGATTTTGATAGAGTTTGTCAGCTATTGATACATATACCAAAGTAAAAAAAAAAAAAWTTCTTTTATAGGGCTCTTCTACTTTGGCATGAAAGATAATTATTTATAGGCTTCTGCCACATGCCTGTAATCCCAGCAGCTCGGGAGGCTGAGGCAGGAGGATGGCAAGTTCAAAGCCAGCCTCAGCAAAAGCAAGGCGCTAAGCAACTCAGTGAGACCCTGTCTCTAAGTAAAATACAAAATAGGGCTGGGGATGTGGCTCAGTGGTGGGGTACCCCTGAGTTCAATCCCCAGTATGCCCCACCCCCCAAAAGATAATTCTTCCATGTTGCCTGCTCAGTGGTCATGGCTCTCCTTCCCTCCCTTCCCTTCTGTCTTCCTTAAGAGTCTCCAGGCTGCCTGACAAAGACAAGGACAGCCTAGAAGGATGAAGAAGGCACACCTGGGAAAAGGCTGAAAGAAAGAACCACCTGCCCCTGAGTAAAAGCAAAGACAGAATGAAGTGGTTTTGTCCCCTCTGGTTCCCGGAACAGTGCCAGGACCACTGAGAATCAGGCAGGAGTGGGAAGGAAGGACAGAACTCCGTGCGGAAGGGCCCGCCTCGCCCGTCCACCAGTGCCATTTGCTTTGTTCCTCGGAATTCTCCTGCCAGACCAAGACACCTTCACTTCCCGTCTCGGGCATGTCACGATTTTCCTTCATGATGGTGTGACAGAAATTTCAACGTTGGGGAAGAAATGACAAAAGGGATACCCTTGGAAAACCATGTCTACTCCTAAGCCTCTATTAAATGGCTGTCAAATAGGACACAACGTTAAAGCAAAGAAGAAAGTCACAGGCAAYAGGGGGAATGTGGAAGAAGAAGAAGGAGAAAGTCAAGGACTGGGTCCTCTTGGCCTTATTGGGCCCTCCAACTTTTTCCTTCTCTCATTTCTCCTTTTCAATTCTTTTTCTCTTACATCAGTCCTCGAAAAGCTTTTCTAAATAACACTCCTCATTGTCCTAGGAAGGCCCAGTACCCACAGCAGGGTAAGTATACACCTGGTGCCAACCTGCCTTGGTATACACTTACTGACACCCCTATGTAGCTCACCCCACCCTTCTCCTCGTCCTTTCTTTTGTCCTTCCCAGAGTGGCAGCCTTCTCCATCTAGCCTTATTTACAGACAGCAGCTAGAATCTGTTACCAGGTAAACAGCAGTTTGCCCAAGCAACCATTCTTACCGGGGTCTACTGTCCACGGCCCCATGAGTCCATGTTCTCAGTTTTCCTTCTCTTTGGACAGATGCCCCTTGGCACACACCTGCCCTGTGATGGACGGCCACCAGCTCTGTGCTCAAGAGACCATGGTCACACATTCCCTCAGATCAGAATAACTTGGATCATGGCATCTCCCTGACCTGGACTAGAGTTGCTACATGCATTTAAAACCTGTCAAAGGTCGGCCAACTACAAAAGGAGCTGTAACCATACTTCCTGCCTACCCCGTCTTCAGTCTTCACCAAACCTCTCAGTCTTAGCATACAGCAGTAGGTCCAGATTCCCACAAAGAAATTTCCTCAAATTGTTCTAAATCATATTTTTCAGGTTACTCCTTCATAAAATATTCCTAAGTCCATAATATTCTCTATTATAGACATGTTGATCTTATTTTCATGGGGAACATTATAAAACTCTGAAGAGGAACACTAGCAGGAAACATAGTTTGGGGAAGGAAATGTTTTTAGTGTCTTTTTTTTTTTATTTTGTTTTGTGTTTGTTTGTTTGTGGTACTACAGGTTCAACCAGAATTGTTTAACCACTGAGCCACAGCTCCATCCCTTTTTTAATTATTATTTTTTCTTTTGAAACAGGGCCTTGTTTAGCTACTAAGGTTGGCCTTGAACTTGTGATCCTCCTGTCTCAGCTTCCCACCATGCCTGGCCAGGAACCTAGTCTTAAAGCTCCTTGACAGGATCCCAAAAGAAGATATAGCAGTGATATATACACAAGGCTCTCTCAATTAATGCTTTGTTCATACACTGGGACCACATGAGGGATCACACAGTTCAACTTCCAGCTCACATTTCAATCTCTCTCTCTCTCTCTCTTTTTTTTTTTTTTTTTAAGTATTGGGGATTGAATCCAGGGGCACTTAACCACTGTGCCACATCCCCAGCGCTTTTACTATATTTTATTTAGAGGAAGGGTCTCGCTAAATTGCAGAGATTGGCTTTGAACTTGCATTCCTCCTGCCTCAGCCTCCAGAGCTATTGGGATTATAGGCATATGCCACCACGCCCGGCCCCACATTTCAATCTCTTGACAGAATCCCCAACAAGTATCACTGAGGATCCACTGAACCTTCCCATTAAATGGGCATAACCTTTGAAGGTGGGATGGTAGTATGTCGTCAATGTCTCTGCTTTCCCTAAACCCAAGTTCTTTTGAATGACTAGTAGTTTTGTGTGCCCCATTTGCCTTTCAACTTTCACTTATCTTGTGGTAGTGAATGTACATGGTCTTGAATTCTTCCTAGAATAAGTGAAACAGTATTAAATAGATGATTTCCTAATCATCAGTGATTCTGTCTGCCTACAAAACCTTGATATTTCAACATACATTACTCTGTTTTTAACTAATTGATCTGTATGTGTATATATATTTATTTTTTCAATATCACATTCCTTAAAGCTTACCTTTAACTTCATTTGTGCCCCTCGTGGGTCCCTAACATTGAAATATGCAGATATGCTAATAGTGTTGAATTTATAATTGTGTTATAATTGTGTAATGATGGAGAGAGGGGGAAAAATCTAGGTTAAATGGAAAAAGGAGATTCTTGAAACTCCTTCTCTGAAAATTATATCCAAAAGTGTATTGTTATTGGAAATTTTTTTTGAGAGAGCCAATAAATTCTGAAAAACTAGAACAGGCAACTAGCACCCTATTCTGCCAGATACCCTCCTCTTGCCACATTGTAAGGTCAGTGTCTGATCACCAGGGGGCGCAGTGCACACAGTTGCTGCACCTCAGGGACAACCCTTTTCAGAACCAGGTCAATTGCAACCGGACTAGAGATCAGCTTAGATTATGGCTTTCACTTTCAGAGGTACAATCCTGTGGGCACAGGGGTTGAGGATGAGAAGTATAAAATGATAGTAGGAAAAAAATCTAAATTCTCCCCAATAAAATACCTTTTATTGTTAAAATTTTCATATATGAAATTTGGATCTTCCTTTCAATCTTCCTAATACCACTGAGGGTCCTAGCACTTTCTGGTCCTGCTGTCAAAGGTAAACACAAAAAAGGATGACATATATTTTAAACCACTATGTCTAATGGCTTTGAGAAATCTATGACAGTGAGTGGCACTCACCTTTTCTAATTTTAATTCTTTTCCTTTGATATTGTTTGAGATCCTCACATTGATTCTGTCTTGAAACTATTTTGGATCCACACTCTCTACACAATCCATTTTCAAGATTGGCTAATTGACTAACTCAGGAGCTGCTGAATTAACCAGTGTATAATTAAAAGAAACAGAAGTGAACATTTTGTCCTAAATCTCTAGCACAGGCTTTCTGTTAGGAGAGGAAAAAAAAAAAAAAAAAAAAAAAAAACTTGCTTGATAAAAAGCTTGGAGATAAAGCTGTTTTGCATAAATAAAAAAGTAAATTTAATTTTAGTACAGGAAAGGCAAAAAGTATATAGGGCCAGAGAAAATGCTGGATGCTACTTGGGGTACAAGAAGGTGTGGTGCAAATTCTCCCTGAGGATTCTGTAGGACACTGTCAGACACGGAACTCTTAATACACAATGCTTAGGTTGCCACACAGTAACCTCCTCTGTACTTCAATTTAGTTAAATCCACTTTTATACACATTTTTAAAGCTGATTTGTCAAGGGAATTGAGAGAAAGACTGAGGTTACACCCAGTGTAACAAAATGCAGAATGCAGAAGCATGCACAAATGCATGAACCCAGAGCCTGAGTTAATCTTGAGGCCATATGCCATGCACCATGAGAGAATCTGCAGAAATCTTGAGATGGGCTTCAGGCTTTCACCAGGAATCAAAAAAGGGATAATGCCAATATGATCTAGACACTTCAGCTGGTACTCATTTCTCTGAAGAGTGTCAACTTCCATATTTCAAACCTTATGCAAAAACACCTGTTTCTTCAACCCTTTATATGGGTTGAGTCTCTGCTCTGGAGAAAGATGACAAAACTGCAAGAATTCACTGTCTCCATTTTACCTTCTACCTGCCATTACTGCTATACAGAGCACAGTTATTAATCCCAACAAAGTCAGGTGTTTTACCTTATGTACATACATGACTATATAACCTGTGTGATTCTACATCATGTATAAGCAGAAGAATGAGAAATTATACTCCATCTATGTATGATGTGTCAAAGTGCATTCTACTGTCATGTATAGCTAATTAAAATAAATTAAAAGTCCATACAAAAGTGCAACTAAATTGTTAATATGTACAATAACAGTTACATTCAGAGATGTTGAGATCTCTACTTTTCTGTAGTTATACTGAGTGGATGACTTTTTTTTTTTTCCTTTTCTCCAAGGCCCAAACAACTTCACTGAGCTCCTTGACCAAAATTCTTTGAGTAGGTAATTTCCAGAGACACTGGTTTACCTTCGTACACGTTCCACACTGTCATCTGTTCGAAGATACTTCTTGGCATTCTCTCCTTTGCCAAAGCCCTCACAGTCTTCTGGGTTGGCAAACGCCTATTCCAAACGCCAGGGGGAGAAAAAAAACTTATTGCAAACACCAAACAGCTTGAGGGTATTCTACCTAAGTTATCTGCATTTTAATGTCAGAAATGCAGGCCTCTAGGTTGGTCCCTAAGCAAAGAAATTTCAGAGCAATAAATCAGACAGGAGCATCCACAGTTCATTCACAGTTTAAACCTGAATCTTTATTAACAATACAAATTATTTTTTTAAATATTTATTTTTTAGTAGTAGTTGGACATAATACCTTTCTTTTTATTTATTTATATGTGGTACTGAGGATCGAACCCAGGGCCTTGCATGTGCTAGGCAAGCGCTCTACCGCTGAGCCACAATCCCAACCCACAAATTATTTCTAAAAGCAGCATAAATGTGAACTTAAATTAAAAACTAGAATATAAAAATAGTGAGAAGGAAGGAAAAAAATAGAAAGAGGCATAAGTCTGAGTCAGCACTAATTATTATTATTACTGTGGTGCCCTAGCATTTTTTTCACAATGACAATGTGGGCACATCCTCCCTCGAGTATTTTAGCATTTCCAAGGAACCAGCTAGTCTGAAGGTAATACAATAAATTACCAAAGATGTTAGAAAAAAGGCAAGAAGCATAAGAAAGTGAGGGATGGGAAAGGTATTTTGTACTTTGATAGGATATGTATGCTCCTTCTCTTGAGCCAGATAAAAYGTTGGGTCAGATAATATTAAATTTAAGAAGCTGAATTGCTTCCTAGGAAGAACAAGTTAACATTTGAGGGCATGGCATGTGTTCATGTATGCTTCCTCTGATTATTATGCTCTTTGAAATGATTTCCCCATCCCTTGAAACTTGAAAGATGCATTTTAAAACTATTTAAGTCTGTCCCAATGTTTAATAATTTATAATAAGAAAAAAAACTATAAAATTAGTTCTAATTTAAGCTTGAAAAACATCTCATAAATGTTATAACTTTCTCTTAATATGATAAGAGCTTTCATTCTAGATAAAAGTATGGAGGAGAACTGACAGGCAGGGTTGTGATACAGTATCAACAGCTCTTGCAGACAGGCCTGTTGGCCTTGTTCATCACAGTATCCTCTAAATAAATGCCTGTCTATGAGATGTTTGACATGTTCATTTTAAATAAAGAAATTAATATATGATAATGAAAGAGTATGAGATCTGGATTTAAACTATCTGAATTTGAATCTCAGCCTTGTCCTCTATTGTTGTGCCACTGTGGGGCCCCTCCTGCTATGGACTGAATGTGTCCTTACGAAACGTATGTATTTGAGCCTAATCCCCAGTGTGAAGGTATCTGGAGGTAGAGACTTTTGAGAGGTGATTAGATCATATGTGTGGAACCCTCATGGATGGGATTAGTGCCCTTATAAAGAGACCCGGCAGAACTTGTTTCTTTCTTTCTCTATTCACCCCAAGTAAGGATGCAAGGAGAACATGGCCATGTACACATCAGGAATCCAGTCCTCACCAAGCACTGGATCTACTGACATCTTGATCTAGGACTTGCCAACCTCAGGAACTGTGTGGGACAAATATTTGCTATTTAAGCCATCCAGTCCAAGATATCCTGTAGAGGCAGCTCAAGATGAATCTGACAGCTACGGACCTTAACCTCTGTGTCTTTCAGTTACTCTACAACATGGGGACCAACCTGAACTTCACCTGACTATGCTAACAATCACTTAATGGGGCCTGCCACTCCACAAATTCAAATTCCCTCCTTCTTTTAAGACCAGGAGGATTTCCCTGCTTCTACTTTGTTTCCAGAGGACAATTGAACCCTATCACAGAATTAAATATGTGGGAACGTTCTCCAGATATCAACCCCATATCTCCAACAGTGACAAGGAAACACCTCAGAGAGGGCCAGGACCTCTAGACAGGAGCAAGACTCTAGAGGACAAAACCTCAGGACAGGAACCTAAGAGAGAAACAGGAGGCTTCCAGAAAGAAGATGTTTAATAGGCACAGGGATAGCACCAATGAAAATTTTACACTTTGTCTAGCAGCCTCTCTGCTCCTCTCACTTGGTCCTAGGCCTGCTTGAACATGGGATGTGTACTTCAAAATCTTTCTGTCACCTTGACCGTGCCTCTTGACTTTTTTAAATTCACTCTTACAATGCTGGGTACAAATACTATTAACTTAAACCAGAAGTACACAAAATTCAATGGTTAGCATACTCCAGTCATAAGAGCCCACTCTGGGAAGAAGAAGAACTTTAATTCTTAGCCTTTTTTCTTTCTTTTATTCAATATTTTTCATCTCTCCCCACTCTCACCCCAAAAGTTATACTCTAAATCTATAACAGAACTGAAAACACTGGTCCAAAAAATGTCTTACCTTTCTCGTTAGTCTATAGAATGCAGTTGCAGGACTCATAAGCATCATTTTTGAAAGGATAATCGCTGTATAGGAGGCAAAAGCCATGAATACTTCATTTTCCAGTAGCTGGGTGAGATCAGCCATTTTTCAATTTTGCTCTGGAATTTTCAAAAGATTTCAGACAAGAAGGAAAAAACAGACATAAATATGCAAAATAACTTCATGATCACTAGGTGTACTTGCAGCATTGACCACATTGTTCTTAAAAATACCTGGGAGCCATTTAAACAAAAAAACTGATCATTAAGTTTCAAATTTTTCAATATAAACAGTAGTATATTTTCTCTAGTTCTATGTCATTAAGCCTAAAGATTAAAGATACTAAATAAAAATCTGTGGGTATTACAAGCAAAAACAAATAGCCAAAATGCCCTAAAAATGGACCACAACCATACATTTGCATCAAGATGGACCACAGATTGAATGCAAAAGACCAAAGGCCATGGACTGATCTCTTTGGAAACACCCAACCATATACACAGCAGTACCACTGATATTGTATTGGGATGCCTAAGTTCTAAAAGTATGTTCTGCTTTAGAAACCCACCTTACTCCTTTGTGTCATTTCAGGAGTGTTCAAGATCTTAGGTGCCATGATTTGAATTCCAGGCCCATGATGTGTCTATTAACCTTTCTTGAGGAATTTAGCCTCTCTGAGGATAAATGTCTTCATTTATAAGACAGGAATAGTAATAGCTCCTAACATTAACTTGTTGCAAGATTTAATTAAGAAAACATGCAGAAAAATACTTAGCACAGCAGCTGGCCCATAGAAAACCCTCGATAAAGTTTTTGATATCCTTAACCTAGCATCATTTTGATCATCATGATCATGGTCATCATTAACACCCACACAGATGAAGAAAGAGAAGACAACAGAAGCATCCAAATAACAGGCTTGCAAACACACACTTAGGAAATGGCATGCATGGTACTTTAAAAGAAAGAAGGATGAGCTTTGTATGTCTCTTCAGGTCATTTCACCTTCCATATTTACAGCATCTAAATGCTGTCAAGGATAAAGTGAATGAAACAGAGAGTGAACTGGAACTATAATTGGGTCAGGAGGAAAGGTGAGGCACACTAGTGATACTGAAGTCAAAGTGGATAGGAATTTAGGATAATGCTTAAATTTAAATCACAGCCTTATCTTGTGGTCATTCCATGTAACGTCCTCTTGTTTCGTCATGAGCTCTGCTATCTGCTTCTATCTCTTCCATATAAACACCTATCTTTTCTCCTAACCGACTTAGACCCTATATAATTTGTTTAGACTGTAGTGCTCTCTTCTCAATGTCCTTTCCTGCCCTTAAATCTCAAACCTTGTTAGACTGACATCTACCCAATTCTGATCATTCTATCCATTTACAAATAATCTACAAATCCACATATGTATTTCTATATTTTGTTACCGGTCATGTAGTTGTTCATGAGTTGCTGTTGAATGGTGATATAAATCACATCCATAAACATACATTTTTAATTTCCCAAGAATGTGCTATGTGTCCAATTATACCACATACTCTAGGTGCAGTACCTTACAAAATCTTTTTAACTATAATACTGTAACCCTCGTAAATACATCCATTTCACACGTAAAGAAAATGGGAATTAGGGATGTTAAGCAGCCAAGAAAAACAAACCCAGGTCTCTGACCTGACATCCTGTATGCTAACACATTGCACTGACTCCTTCAAGAGACCTGCTTAATTTAGCTTTTTGTTGCTTAATTCTGTTTAATTCTGATTCAACCAAAATTGGATTCCCACTGTGGCTGGCACAGCTAGGTACCCCTTGCATATGTTTTTTGCCTTCCTCTTCCTGTTATGCTATGTAGGAGGTATTATCATTCCCATTTTGCAGATAAAGAAACCAAAGCTTACTGTGTATATTATGATTTTTATTTCCTTAGACTAAAACTGTACTCCATAAATTTAGGCAAACAGAATCTACATACAGCCAGGCACACACCTATAATCCCAGTAAGCAAGGAGGCTAAGGCAGGAGGATCACAAGTTCAAGGCCATCCTGGGCAACTTAGTGAGTTCCTAAGCAAATTAGTGAGATTCTGTCTCAAAATTTTAAAAAATGTTTAAAAAGGGGGGGGAGGGGTGATGCTGGGAATATAGCTCAGTGGATGAAATTCCCAGTACAGAAAAAAGAGAAAGAGGGAAAGAGAGATTGATTACATACAGTTGTCCCTCAGTGTCCTGTGGTTCCAGAATCCCCGAACAACCCACTGTAGAAACCCAAATCTGTGGTGCTCAAGTGCCCAATATAAAATGGGCTAGTATCTGCATATAACCTGTGTACATTCTCCCACACACCCTCCCTTACTTTAAATCATCTCTAGATGGCTTGTAATACCTAACACAAAGTAAACACTAAGCAAACAGCAGTTATACCATATTATCTAGGGAAAAGTTACAAGGAACAAAGACTGTATGTGTTAAATACGGACACAATTTTTTTCCCTAATAATTTCAATCCACAGTCGGCTAGAACCTACAAGTATGGAGGATCAAAGGTAATCTAGATATTAAAAAAGAAAAAACAAATCCCACATGATAGTAAATTAATCCACCTCTATGAGTTTATACTCTTGAAAGCACAGTATGTTAGGTTAGTTCTCAGTGCCCAATAATACTTTTTAAAATACGTGTTCTAGTATGGGAGGGGTGGGGATCAAAGATCCTTCAGGGCTCCTGTAAAGTTAATTTGCCTAATAAAGGATCCCTAAGGCCTATGCCTCTGGACAGAGATCTGAAGAAATACAGCAGGGACCTTAACTATTTAAAAATTAGGAAGTTCAAGTAGGAAATGTTGCCACTTAATAATTTTTAGACAGTCTCCGCTGTTTTCTCCATAATGTAATGTATTCAGGGATGGAACAGAAGTCCAAGAAACTTCTTTTCTCCGTAGTAAAATTCAGCATTAAAAGAGCAGAGGAAAAAGTGGAGGCCTTCTGGAATCCTTAGGAAAAATACACAGAAGATGTCAACAGCTGGGGCAAAGGAAATAGGAAGTCTTTTCTTCACATGTGAGCCACACACAGAAAGCACACCTCACACAGTAAGCATTTCTCAATTACCAAGAATGCAGTAGAACTCCTCCATCCTGAATTTGTGGGAGATGGGCCAACATCGAGCCTGTGATACCACACTGTACGGTTCATGAACTAACTTTCCCACACAATCCCTTCCACATCCCAGGTACTGAGTAATAAAGGCAAGAACATTAAGCAATTAGAGTTACTGAATGCATGGATTATAGGGATGTTGGTCTAGACTCGGTTTTAATTTTTTTTTTTCCAAAGCCAATTGGTTAACAAATTGTCAGGAGCCAGTGGCCCAAACTGCAATGGCTAGGCTCTGCGGTGAAAACAAAATTATGAAAGCTTTCTCCCAAGAACAGTCTTCAAGAGGGCAGAGAGGAGTAAAGTAGGGGGGAAAACTAAGAGGGTAAAGTGTAGCCAAGTTTGCAGTGGTGCATGCCTATAATCCCAGCTACTCAGGAGGCTGACGAAAGAAGATGGCAAGTTTGAGGCCAGTGTGGAAAATTTAGTAAGATCCTGTCTCAAAATAAAAATAGTTGTGGGAATGTAGCTCAGTGGTAGCACACCCATAGATTCAATCCCTGGCCCAAAAAAGGGGGCAGGGGTAAAGTGTTAGGTGATTTGAATACTCTAACACACACAACAGGTGGCATGAAGAAAAAAGATAACTATGTGGTCATGCTGCTGTTTACCAGTTCTAGAATTTTCTGAAGGGATTATGATGGCTACAGATTCAGCCTCCCATGAGTTTCATGCAAGAGAGGTCTCAAAAATAATCTAGAAAAGTAAGCAGAGAAAAAACGGAACAAATTATATAAAATAAATGGTTACAAATGATGAATCGTATTGTACAGTGGTTTACTTGTTTTATTATACATTCATTGGCGGGCATCACAGTGAATATCTGCCCAGAAACCAGCTCCCAGTCCCCTGGTATGGAGGTGAATGTTCTTTAAGAGGCCAAGGGTTCAGATGATGCACACATACAAACTCTAGAGGTAAAGTGGAGTCCTGGCAGATCTCAACACTGCCACTTATTACTTGCAAGTTAACCTTTCTAGGGCCTACTCACCTTTCCTGAAAAAAACAAGGTAAATGAAAAATAAACCTTGCAGGGTTCTTATGAATACTGCTTTTGGTGAAAAGTGTCTTCAAAAGCATTGAGACCTGGCTAAGGGCTATAAGAGTGTTCGCTAAATAAAGAAGCTCCTACTTTGACACTGTTCTAGGCACCAAGGATACAATTTGTTTCTAAAAAGCTGTGGCATACTTTTTATTTCACTTGATTTCAAAAATCCTAAAAGGGTGAATAATATTTTCTACCTTTGATATATAAAACTGAGGGCCAGAGGCATTAAATGAGTACCCAGACCCAAATTCATAGAGAAGGAACCAATATCAGGGCCCAGTTTCCTCAACCATATAATTCATGGGCTATCTACCATCTAAGCGAAGAATGCTAGAATGTTCTGGTTTTCTGGAGGCTGTTTTCCCAGTCATTCACATTCCCATTTGGTTTTTCTTTCCCCCAGTATCTATCACAGAACCTTTTTCAAACTCTTAAGTTGAAGAACATTCCCTTTCCCTTAACAGGCTCTTGGCCAAAAAGAGCAAAGTTCTTTTCTTCGCAGGATTACTTGGCTTCTCTAAATCAACATTGTGTAACACAGAAAATATGGGCACAGAGCCACCAGACCATGACTCTTCAATTTTGTACTTTCTGAAACTAACAAACACAACAAAAAAGATAGGTAAGTGGCTATGCTGCTGTATATCAGTTCTAGAATTTTCAGACGGGACTGTGGTAGCTGCAGACTGAGCCTCCTATGAGGTCTCAGGCAAAGGAAGTCTCAGAGGCCAAATACTGATCGTTTTGGGGGGTGGGGAAGGATAGAGGGGAGAATATGGTGGGGTAAAGCATTCTTAGAGGACAGTGCTGATTTCCGTTTCCAGTCTCAAGGATTAATAAGCTCTACTCCAAAATAAATCCTTAGAAAAATCTTACTTGTCTGCACAAAGAGTAATATTCAAATATGGATCAATTTATCATGTTTTAAAAAAATGAATAAGATGGACAGAGCATATAAGTCCTTTTTATATATAAACTTATTTTAAAACAACAAAGTGCAATACCACCTTAACTCCCAGAAGAGCATGCAAAAAAGGTGGGTCCAGCTGGGGGTTCACAGTGGACCAGGGCCTGGGAACTCTATTAGACTGTCAGCTGTTCCTACAAATTGATCAACACCCCCATGGTACTCACGAACAGAGAAAGCAGGATGAGGAAAATTTGGGGAAATGATCAGACTGCAAAGAGGCCCTGTGACTAATAACGGAAAGCAGAGACACTAGAAGGCTTGTATGCACTTTCTCTCCACCTCCCCAGGCCAGGGTTAGCAGTATCTGAGGCCTTATGAAAAAAAAAAAAAAAAATCCTTTTCTTTTTTTATTTCTTGGACTAATGGCTTCTACCTTCGGATTTTGGGTGGGGTAGAGGGGATGCACACATTAGAATCTGCCAAGGGGGTTTCACCCTCAGCTGTCCAGTCATCTGACTCTAATAACATCACAAAACAATACAACACTCTCATTCAAGTGCTCTTGCATTATCTAACATCATTACCACCACTATTATTTTTAAAACTTACAGATGTTTCTCTTGCCTATCAAAGTGAATAGAGAAGTACAAATTCTGTCCCTCTTTAGGTACCAAGGCCTTTCGTCCAATCAGAGCCGGCACAGGATTTTATACCGCAGAGTTGAAGTTTCTCAACAGCGATTTCCTGTGTTGCTAAAGCTTGCAGGTACTCACAACTCTCCCAAAGATCACGGGACCCTTTCCAAGGAAATACTACTTTGGCTTGGAAATTTAAAAAAAAAAAAAAAATGAGGAAATCATCCTTTAAACATGAAAGATTCATCCTCCCAAGTTTCACTCTCGGAGTTTGAGAAAGTGTAAAAACTTAACCAACTTAGGAACAACAGAAACGCAATTCCCTTTCAGAAGTGATCCGACTGCAAAAGGGACGGCTGCAGGGAGTTAAGCAGAGCAAAGAACTTTCAGGCTGGCAGAGACCCCGCCAACTCCCGCTCCCCTTCCGCGGCCACCCTGCCGGCGCCCTCCCGCAGCATCCCTTCCCGGCACGTACAGCGAGTCCGCGAAGGTGGAGGTCTGCAAGGCTCTGCACGCAACAGGGCGCCGGGCACTGCGCGGAGGAGCGCGCGAGGGCGGGACGCAGGCGCCGCCCCCTCTCTGGCTAATTTCCTATGAATTAATTAGCTCCTGGCCTTAGAGCCCGGCCTTGCCAAACCCCGCCCCCAAGTCGCCTGATGCCTCTCTCCCCACAAAGCCACAGATCCGCCCGTTCCGTTCTTTGAACCTTTACATTTGGCTCCAGTGGAAGCTCCACTTTCCCCTTTGCGGTGCGGAGGGGCCATGGGGATGGGGAAGGAACTTATCATCTCACACCCTTCACGACTGGGGGAGGGGAGGGACAGGGAGCCTGTCCGTTTTTATTTTGCTGAAAACAACTTAAAAGATCTTCATGTTGGATTTTTGAAAGCTTTAAAAAAAACTTTACAGAAAATTAAAATCTTAGGGGCGGATGAAGCTGATAAGAAGTCATTGCCAAATTTTCTTCTCTTGAACTTCATCTTCCCTGCACCTGTGGCAAGACTTCCTTAAAAGGCTAGCCCCAGAAGAAAGTATCTTTAGTGAAGATCACTAGCAGCATTCCAAGTCACCAAACCACTTGTTTTGTCACTGTGCCCCCCACCTTCAGGGTCCAAAGTAGAATGGGAGGAGATGATACTGGACCGGTTCATTACACCATCACCTTGGTGTGTTTTTACAAGGACATTTAGGGAAGTATTTTAAGAAGGCATGATTACTATCAAAATTGAGATTAGGGATATTCTAACCTATCTCTCCACAATCCCCTCAATAACATCTATGGATTTGTCTTTCATGAGTTTATCTGAAGAGTTTTGAGGATTTATGTTTTGCATCTATATTGTTCTTCTCACAGTGATACATTTCACATGCTCACCACATATTGCTGTGTGTACTTCTTTTTTTACCCCCTTTATTTTTAGAGATACCTCCAGTACTAAATTTCTAGGATTTAATGAGCAAATCCATGTTCTACCAAAAAAGGAATTCAGAACTACCAGTTTACTGTAGAAAACAGAAATTAATCACAGGCAGTCCTGAGAACTATTTCTATGGAAGCAGAATAAGTAGGAGCACTTTAGAATCAGAAGACCCAAGTGCTTCATTTTTATGTCTGTACCTTTTGAAAACTATATTTATTCACCTACCTCTGTTAAGTACTCTAGAATCTAGCCATAACTAACTGGAAGGGACAAAAATTCTCTCCAAGAGTTTAGTATTACAACTATTTCTTGAAAACTCTTTTCATTTATTATGAGGTGAACAGCCCAAATCCTATGGGTAAGATTATAGAAAAAGGTACAAGAGAGCTATTACTTAAATAACATTATCGTCAGAATGGCATTTGAACAGTTTTAGCATATTTTTTAAAAGAAAAGAACACCTGATTCATCCTAATAATCTAATTGTAAAGTGTTCAAACTATTAACTAATCAATTCGTAAATACTGAGTTCCTACTGCAATCAGTTTTAACAGTTATTGGCTGTGTGTGAGCACGAGCATGTGTGTCAATCACTTGGCTTTGGTATAATATCAGCACTAGACTAATTAATTCAATAAACATTCATTAGGTGATTGCAAGCTATTTGGTTTGATGCCAGAAATCTAAAACTAAGATCAATAACATCAAATAATTGTCCTCACAGAATTTATAATATAGCAAAAACAAAGGCAAAAAAAAAAACTAGCAAGCTGTCATTAAATTTGTGGAAGAAAGTATCTCAATTTAGAAATAAGAATGACAATTTAGCAGGAAGCAATAACAGGGAAAAGGCTGGGAAGGAATGGACACTTCGTATTCATCTTCATTTAATCCTCTTGGATGAGTGAGAGAGGGAAGGACTATTATTCAACTTGTTTCAGTTGAACACTCAGTTTGAGTAACAGGAAGTGATCGTATTACCAATACTTCTTTTTACCATATTTTAACCCAAGAATAAAATCTTTCAGAGAAACTCAATCCAAGCGACAAGACAATTCCCTAATAAATATTTAAAAAGAGTTTTAAAGGTCATGGGTTTGGGGTGGGGGAGAGCAAAGGTCATTCAGCCAAAAGTAGCTGCCACAATAGAGAAAAGGAAGCTGCCTGTTGGAGAGACTGAATCAGAAATACCTGGAAGAACAAAGCATTAGAAGGCCATTAGTTCCTACCCTTTAAAGCAGACAAAGAAGAAATATCAGACAGGATTGCCACCAGCATATAACAGGCACTTAGACTCTTCACTTTTGCCTGCAACTGTCCAACGGAGGGCTAAAGGCAGAATTAAAGATTTGGGGTCTCTGCCTGTTTTGCATCTGTCTTCTTGCTCAAGTCACCTTGGATTCCAGGAACAATGTGATCTGAAAAATATCTTATGATTTGTGGATGTTAACTCCCCTCCCAGACACCTGGCAACACCACACAGCTTTCTTACCCAAGGCCTCACCTGGCAAATCCTGAGATAATGATTAGACCACACCAGATCAAGATCACCTGCTTTGGCAGCTGTGAATAGCCTCCAACAGTGCAAACTCTCCAACCCTGCCCTTATTCCCCTTTCTATAAAACTTCGGGGTCATTGTCAGCCCCCGGAAGGCAGGGCTAAGAACACGGGTCCCCTTGTCTTCCCAGGGAAGCTGCACTGATCAAATTTCTTTTCATGCCTTTATTTATTTTTTTTTATTTCTATAGTCTTTTATTTGTTTGTTTATTCATTCTTCTGGTTATGATACAACACCAGGATACACTTTGACATAATCAAAAAAGCTTGGAACTAACCTACTTGTATTCAGTCCCCAACATTTCACCAGCCCCCACCCCCTCATCCTCTTCCCTCCCCTTCCTCCCCTGCTAATCCCTGATCCCTCTTCAATCCATTTACAGTTCCCTTTTTTAAAAATTAGTGTCTTATGGATGTACGCAATGCCAGGACCCACAATATCACATCCATGCACGCAAATACAAAAGTCCACTCACATTCATTCTACTGTTCTTCCCTTTCTGTGTCTCTTTTTCTTCCTCCTCAATCCCCTTTCTCTATTGATCTTTCTGCTATTTTGAAGTAATTTCCTCTCCCCTCTTTTTTCTTTCCTTTTTTAAAAATTCTTCTCCCCTCCCCGACCCATGCTTATTTTGGATTAGCCTCCACATATCAGAGAAAATATTTGATCTTTGATTCTTTGGTGACTGGCTTGTTTCACTTAGTATGATAGTCTTCTGTTCCATCCATTTTCTGACAAATGCCATAATTTCATTCATCTTTATGGCTGAGTAATACTCCATTGTGTATATATTTTCTTTATCCATGCATCTGTTGAAAGGCATCTAGGTTGGTTCCACAGCTTAACTATTGTGAATTGTGCTGCTATAGACATAGAAGTGGCTGTGTCACTGTAATATGCTGATGTTAAATCTTTTCGATATATACCAAGGAGTGGGAGAGCTGGGTCATATGGTGGTTCCTAGTCTTTTGAAGAATAATCTCTATACTGATTTCCAGAGTGGTTGCACTAATTTGCAGTCCCACCAACAACTTTCATGCTTCACTATTACCTTTTGTATTTGGTGTTTGGGGTGAGTGGGACAGACCTGATTGAATGAATACCCAGAATCAGGCCTCTGGCCTAGGGCTCAGGAACAACCACTAGGACTAGGCTTCCTGCAAACAGGTGGAAATCAGCAACCTATCACCACTTTCAATTGTGTCAAATTTTTGTTTTCCCCTATATCCACAGAATAAGTGCCCCCACAATCTAATGATGCAGATCCTTCTTAGAAATTTCTTAAGAAACACTTAAGAATATGTCTTGAGAATAAGGCTTAAGTTTAAGGGAAGCAAAAAAATGAAATAAAAATAAGCAATATTCTAAACATGCAAATATTATTTTAGAATTATAAATGCATATAAAATAGTTTATTGCTCCCAATAACTCTATAAGTGAATTCTTATTTTTCCTACTGTGGATATGAGATTCAGAGCAATGTGAAAGTTGTGTTAACTTCTGAAATAAAATCTGAACCTAACATCTGCAAGAGGCAAAAGTATCCACAACAAAAGAGAACTAAACATGATAAAATTCTTAAAGGTAGTCAAGAGAGTATGGTAAGGGGATAAAGATAAACCAGTGAGTCAAAAGAACCCATAACAGTCCAGAAGTAGAACCACATTTAATTGGTCAATTGATTTTCAACAAAGGCTCCAAGGCAATTTAAAGGAGAAAGAAGAAAAACTTTCAACAATGAGGACTGGAACAAGAATAGCCATATGGAAAAAAATGAACTTTGACCCTTAGCTCACACCATACACAGAGACTAATTCAGGATGGATCATTGACTCAAAGATAATACTATACAGCTTCTAAAAGAAAACATGGATTGTCTCCATGACCTGGGGATAGGCAGGGGTGTTTTAGACAGTACATGTCTATAAGCATTGTCTATAAAACAAAAAACTGATCTATTGGACTTTTTAAAAATTAAAATCTTCTTTTCATCAAAAGATATCATTAAAGAACTGAATAGGCAATCCACAGACCATGAGAAAATATTCTCAATATACTTATTTGACAAAGAACTTATATGCAAAAGAAATAACAATAAGAAACAAGAAATATACAATTAAAAGTAGAAAATATGGAAAATATTTGAACAGACACTTCACAAAGGAAGATAAATGGACGGTTTAAGTGCACATGAAAAGGTATTTAATGTCATTAGTCTTCAAAGATATGCAAATCAAAACCTGAAGCATTAGAAAGGGAAGAATTACAAAGACAAAATCAAATATTGACAAAGGAGTAAAGCAAATGGAACTCTCATGTCATGGAACACCAACTAGAGAAACTGTATTATAGTTTTTTATAAAGATAAACATGGATCTGTCCTATAATCTGATAATTCTATTTCTAGATATTCACCCAAGACAAATGAAAACTTACAACCTCAAAAAGGATTTTTGACTGGGTGCAGTGGTGCACGCCTGTAATTACAGCAAATCAGGAGGCTGAAGAAGGAGGATCTCAAGTTTGAGACCAAGTTCCAAATTAGTGAGGCCCAAAGCAACTTAGTGAGACTCTGCCCCAGTGG